TTTAAGTAAAATCTTGTAAAATAAGTGAATTTTCAAGAAACAAATTTTAGTTTTTAATGAAATAAAGTGCTTAAAGGCTCGAAATATGTTTTACCTGAATAATTTTTTTTTTTTTAAAGTAGATAAAAAACCCGTTTAGACCTGCTTAAATTAGTGATTTTTCGGTCAATTTCAGCGAAATCTTAAGAACATAAGTAAATTTTTATCAAAAAAAATAACTTAAAAGAAAGAACCTAATTTTTGGCATAAGAATGTTTTTTTTCAGCTATTTCAATAAAATCTCGACTAATAATAAGTGAATTGTACTAAAAAGTAAATTCTTAAATCAAAAATGTGTTTAATCGTTCGAAATATGTTTTGTGGTCTATTTTAAGAAAATTTTCACACCAAAAAAATATGAGTTTTTTTACTCGAAACCGGGTTTAAAAACGCTCGATAAGCGTTTAATTATTGCCATTTTTGACTAAATATGCACTTTTCCCTCTTTTTGAATAAGATTTTGGAGAAAAATTGATTCTTTGAGAATAAAAACTCAATTGTTATCTCAAAAACACATATTAATTGTTCAAAAAAATGCAAGAATAACTTCATTCTTGTTCAAAATTTGCTATTTTTTCACAGAAAAAATGGATTTTTAACAAAAAATAAACGACAAGACAAAATACAAAATATCGTAATTTTTGACATTAATAATAGGTGGTTGTTTGGATAGGGTGGCCAAGTGAATTTGACAAAAAAAATAGTTTTATACTCAAAAACTTGCTTAAACGCTTGGAAGACTAAAAATGACTGCATTTTTAACTAATTGGGTTATTTTTTTGGCCAATTTGGGAGAATTAAAATACGAATACTGTTATTTTTTTATCCTGTACCAACGTCCACCAGAAAAGGTGAATTTTACCAAAAAATATGGATTTTTACTCGAAAATGGGTTTAAACACTCGAAAAGAGTAGATATAAATAACGTCATTTTTGACTTAAGTCAATTTATTTTTCTTTTTGAGTAAGATTTTCCTTAAATGTCACTATTTAACCAAAAAATGTCAAGAATAACATCTTTCCTGTTCTTGTGAGTTTTTATCAAAAAAAGTGATTATTTAACATTAATAAATTAACTTTTCACTTAAATAGATGATTTTTGACACGTTTAAGCAAAATAAATGAATTTTCAAGAAAAAAAAATTGATTTTTAGTAAAATAAAGTGCTTAAAGGCTTATAATACATGTTTTTTGGTTTATTTTTACGAAATCTGTCGGAAAATAGTGAATCCTCACGGAAAGTAGGTGTTTTCGCTCAAAAACGTTTTTCAGAAAAATTGATTCTTTGACAAAAAACTCAATTGTTATCTCAAAAACACATATTAATTGTGTTAATTAATTAGCTATTTTTTCACCAAAAAAGTGGATTTTTAACAAGAAACAAACGACAAAATACAAAATAACGTAATTTTTGACATAAATAATAGGTGGTTGTTTGGATAAGTGAATTTGACGCAAAAAAATAGAGTTTTATACTCACAAACTTGCTTAAACCCTCGGAAGACTAAAAAATGACTGCATTTTTGACCTAACTGGGTGATTTTTTGGCCAATTTGAGAGAAATAAAATACGAATACTGTCATTTTTTCATCCTGTACTGTCAACTTTTAAAACTGAAATTTACCAAATTTTTTTTCAGAGCCGCTCAGGCCGTCAACGTGCTCGTCGGTATCGCCGTCTTCTGCACCTACGGCCTCCAATTCTACGTCTGTCTCGACATCGCCTGGTCCCAAATGAAAGAGAAATTCGCCAAACGCGAAACTTTGGCCAATTACGGCCTCCGAACGGTTCTTGTAACCCTCAGCGTCCTCATCGCCGTCGCAGTCCCAACAATCGTCCCATTCGTGTCCCTAATCGGAGCCTTCTGCTTCTCCATCTTGGGCCTCATGTGTCCCGTTTTCATCGAAGTCCTCACATTTTGGGACAAGGGATTCGGCCCAGGCAATTGGAAAATTGTGAAAAACGTCATCATTGTACTCACAGGATGCCTCGCACTGATTTTCGGCTCGAAATCGGCCATTCAAGATATAATAAAGTTGTTTTAATAACAGCGAATTTTAGTACAAGACCAAACAATTTTTTAGTACTTTTTTACGATAAGTTATTTATTTATTGGAGCGATCCGATTGGTAAATCAAGTATTATTTTTGCGTCCACAAGTTCAAAAATTTTGGCAGACAATACTCAAGCAACATTCCAACAATAATTTTCGGAATTCGTGACGAGAAATTTACCAATTTTCGGATAAATGACTGTAAAAGTATTTATTTATTTAAGCACAACCATGTTTGAATATTTGTATATTTTGTTCCTCGAGGAACTGAAAAAACTGGAAGATTGTACTGTACATAACTGGATGTTTTATAATTTTTGACAAAACCTTGTGAGTTTTTAAGAAAAACAAATATAATTTCGATAAGAAAAAAATGTTTTATTCCACCCACGTCACGAGTGATTTAAATAAAACTAGAATTTTTATTCATTGTGTGATAACTGCAGAGAGTAGAAATTAACAACCTTGAGTTTATTACTTCTCAAACAATCAATTATTAGTAAACGTGTTTTCAAAACCTGTTTTTTATTCGAGTTTAGATTGTTTGGATTAACTTTCGTAAAAATTAATGAAAATATTGATAAGAGATGGATCAAAGGCCAATAAGGCGATTTTCAATGCTAAGATACTGAATATATTGGTGGGAATCTCTCACGCAGAATATTTTTCTACTGATCATGAAGAAGAGTTGTGAATAGAAACAGTGACGCGTTTTGTGTTGAAATGGTAAGTTTTCTTTTTCAACCAATTTTTAACCATTTTATTGTTTTATATTCTTTATTTGTTATTCATTATAACGTCAAATTTTAAACAAATACTTTTTTGTACTTTGGTTTGGTGTAATTTTTACTTGTTTTTCTTACACTATACCTAAGTGCCCAAGTTGTGCTTAACACCCTATAGTTTTTATTTTATTTTCTTCTATTACATAATTGTTCGTTTCTTTGTGTGTCATAATTTCTGGAGAAAAAAACATCATTTTTGAATTAAAGTTGTGATTTTTGAGCAAAATTTTATGAAAAAACAAATTTTCAATATAAATAGATAGTTTTTCAACCTATTTGAGCGAAACTTATAGATAGTTTTTCAACCTATTTGAGCGAAACTTTGCGTAAATAAGATTTACTAAAAAAATAGTACTTTTTAACTCAAAATGTAAATAAACAATTGAAATATCAGTTTTTTCGTTTTGTTTACCGAAAATCTAGCAAAAACAGTGAATTTTCATCGAGAAATTCAGGTTTTTTACTTGAAAACGGGTTTAAACTCTCGAAAAAGGCCAGTTTTTACTTAAATTATGTAATTTTCTTTTAGTCTGTTTGAGCAAAATGTTTGCAAAAAAGTGATATTTCAGCCAAAAGAAGTCGATTATTAACTCTAAAACGTGTTTTATTGTTCAATTTTTTACCAAAGAAGTAGATTTTATAACAAAAATAAAAATACAAAAATCAGAAATAACTTAATTCGAGCGATTTTTGGGCCATTTAAGTTTGTTAAGTTAGATTTTCCAAAATAAAAAGATTTTTGGGACCGTTGTTACGAAATCTCGCCAAAGAAAGTAAATTTGAAGCAAAAAAATCGAGTTTTATACTCTAAAACTTGCTTAAACTCAATAAAGTAAAAAAAAACAACGTAATTTTTGACTTAATTGAGTAATTTTTTTTCTCTATTTAAGCAAGATTTTTCGTAGAAGATGATGAGTTTACTGGAAAAAGTTAATTTTTGTACTATTTTGCAAAATCTAGAGAAAAAAAGCAAATATTCAGCAGTGAGTATAGATTTTTATTCGGAAACGTTTTGAAACAATTGAAAATACAAAAGTAACGTTATTTTTGAATTAAAGTTGTGATTTATGCAAAATTTTATAAAATTTTCAGCATAAATTTAAGCAAAACCTTCAATAATAAATAGGTTTTACTGAAAAAAAGTATTTTTTTACTCAAAATGTATATAAAAGCTTGAAATATCAGTTTTTTTGTCTTGTTTACAAAAAATCCAAAAAACCATGAATTTCCACCATAAATTTGTTTTTTTTAGTGATTTGAACGCTCGAAAAGGATAAGTGAATTTTATAACAAAAAATAAAAACAGAAAAGCCAAAAATAACTTAACTTAAGTTAATTAAGTTAGATTTTTTTAAACAAGAATATTTTTGGGAGCGTTTTAACAAAATCGCGAAAAAAAGTGAATTTGAAGCAAAAAATCCGAGTTTTAGACTCTAAAACTGCTTAAACGCTCGAAAAAGTAAAAAATAACGCTAATTTTTGACCTAATTGTGAAAATTTTTCGCTCGATTTAATCGAAATTTCTTATAAAGTGAGTTTACTCAAAAAAATTAATTTTTACATTATTTTCACAAAATATAGCAGAAAAAAGTAAATCTTCAACGATTTTTGATTTTTGGGTTAGTTTGAAGAAAATTTTACTTAAAAAAAGTAAATTTTTAGCATAAATAGATGATTTTTTTGCCCTATTTGGGGAAAACCTTGCATAATAAATTAGTTTTATTGAAAAAACGCTCGAAAAGGGCAATTGCTCTATATTTTTATGTTATTTTTTCTATTTATGTTCGCTTTATTGAGTAATAATAACTATGTTTTATATTTTTGAGAAACAAATAATTTTGATTTGTTTTTCTCATACTAATGCTCACACTAACACTCTATATTTTTTCTATTTTAATATTCTCTTTTAATAAATCTTTTCTAATTAAGTACCTTGTTTCGATTTAAAAAAATATATTTTGTGTCCTGAAAATGATAGCTTGTTTGCAAAACAAGTATCAGCAAAAAATAGTGTTTTAAATAAATTAGTTCAATATTTTTCGTACAAAGTGCAATAGAATTATGTAAGTTTCAAATGATGAACAAAAACAGACGTCAGTTAGATTGCAAAACTTCTTTATCTCATTTTGTTTACAAACATTTTAACTCTTTTTCACAATTTTCGACTTTAAATTTATTTGAATTTCTTTTGTTTGTGGTAATAGAAAGCACAAAATTTTGATTTTAGTATGCATGAAAGTAGGTTTCGAGGATTTCCCCGATAACCTTAGTAACTTATAATTTCCCAATCAGTGTTGCCAATCTGTCAACAAATATAAAAATAGCGTGATGGGTTCGCAGAAAATTATTTTTATTTGCTATTTTAAAACAAGGAAGTGGACTGATGGGTATGACGTTTCGAGATTATTATCAATAAAAACAGTGATGATTTAAGGATCATCTTTGTTGCATCATAAATCTTGAGCAATTTTATTTTAATGTAGTAAAACAGTGAACTTTCAGCTAAGAATTTTTCAGGTTAAAGTTCCTTAACTTTGATAACATTACCATTAACGAACTTCCATTGTTAATTACATTTTTAAATATTTGTTCTCATTATCACACATTTTTGCAACAATTATGAATGTCTGTAAGTTTCCATAATTAAAAAAATGTTTATTAAAAATATCACTTTTAAACACTTATTTTTTTAATTTACAATAAAATTGCAATAATAATAATTTTTGTTCTTTTAGTCGGCCAAAGTCCTGCAATACAACTCTCACGAGTTGGAAACTTTCCTCCCTCACAGTCAACCAACTTACATCAATCCAGTGCCTACCCAGTAAGTATTTTCGAAAAAAAAACTTTCACTTTGTATGATGTAAAAAATGTTAAAACACTCCTTGTTATAGAATTAATTATTACGGCTGTTCTTACGAAGCCAATTTAAAACAATACTTGCTTGCTGCAAGAACCACACGTTATGGAAGTGTTTATAAATCACAACCAAAATTCATCTACATTAGGTATTAAAACACGATTAATACCGTTAAAAAATTGTTTTTTTGAGCTTTTTTAATGTTTTTAATCGTTGATAATTACAGACCTAGTCCCCAAGCTGATGTTAAAGTCACACTGAGTGAAAACGAGAAAGATTTGAATCCAGTTAAGGAGGATTTTGACCCTTTCAAGGCCCGACATTTGGACCAACCTGTCTCGTAAGTTTTTTTTTTCAAACATTTTACATTATTTTGAACAATACTAGACAAAAATCGGAAAAATATCGGAATTAGTGTTTCATTAACTGTCGAATAGTGAAAACCCGGAGTCGACCGGAATTAAACTTTCGTTTACTTTTTTGCAATTTTAAAATTAGATGATTTTTCATAAAATATCGTTAATTTGGGTGTGTTTCGAGTGATTTCCGGGCACCCAAAAATCAATTTATTTTTTGCCCGGAAAACCTCATAATAGTTCGATAGGTATCTCGAAAACTACTCGTCGTAGAGCATTTTAACTGGTTTCATCGTGATTTTATGACTAAAAACCAAGTTTAAAACATTTTTCGCAAAAAAAGCTTTAAACAATAACACGTCTTTAATGCTTAATGCGAAAATAGCAAAAATAAACTAGTTTTTGACTTAGTTCCGTTATTTTTCGTCCAGTTTGAATGAAATTTTGAAAAAAGTGAATTTTTTACGTAAATTATGTAATTGTTTTAGTCTGTTCGAGCGAAATGTTTGCAAAAAAGGGATATTTTACTCAAAAGAAGTCAATTACGACGCAAAACGTGTTTCACTGTTCAATTTTTTTTACCAAAGAAGTGAATTTTTAGGACAAAAAATAAGAACAGAAAAATCAAAATAACTTAATTTGAGTTAATTAAGTTAGATTTGTTAAGATAAGAAAATTTTTGGGATAGTTTTAACGAAATCGCGAAAAAATTGAATTTGAAGCAAAAAATTCGAATTTTAAACTTTAAAACTTGCTTAAACGCTCGAAAAAGTAAAAAATAACCCTTATTTTTGACCTGATTTTGCTCGAGTTGAATTAAATTTTTCGTAGAAGGTGAGTTTACTGAAAAAGTTAATTTTTGGATCACTTTTACGAAATCTACAGGTTTTTGCGCGAAAACGTTTTTAAACGATCTAAGGTAACGTCATTTTTGAATTAAAATTGTGATTTTTCGATCAGTTTGAGAAAAATTTTATGAAAAAAAAGAAAATTTTGAAAAAGCGACCTTTTTCGCTCTTAGACCTGCTTTCAAACGATTAAAAAAGCAAAAACAACGTCATTTTGGGCCAAAATTGATGATTTTTTGTTCTGGTTAAACGAAATTTTACAAAAAAGGAATTTCCACCAAAAAGTATATAAATTTGTAGCTTTAAAGCGCGTATTGAAAAGGTAATTTTTTGGCCAATTTGAGCAAAATCTTCCAAAAATTTTTTTTTAACCAGAAAAATAATAATAAAAAATAACGCCGGAAAAGACAAAAATTCTGTAATTTTTATCATAAATTGGCGATTTTTGATCTGTTTTAGTAAAATCTAACAATAAAGTGTGTTTTTCTAAAAAACAAACATGCGAAAACCCTGGTAAAAAGTAAAAATAATATTATTTTCGACGTAATGTGCAATTTTTTGATCAATCTTAAAAAAATAATTAAAATATAATTTAATTATTGACTTAAATAGATAATTTTTTCTCTTGTTTGAGCAAAATCTTGTGAAATAATTGAATTTTTAACCAATAGATCTTGTTTTTTTATATATATATAAAAAAAAACGTTTAAACGCTCGAAATATGTTTTTTCTGCTTAACTTTTTGAAATCTAGCAAAAAAAACTGAATCCTCAGTGATTAAGATGAGTTTTTGGGAAAAGCAAAACTAAAGTAATTTTTGATCTCAATAATTTTTTTTTTGGTTGAGTAAAATTTTTTGCGAAGAATAGTTATTTTAGCATATAAATAGTAGTGATTTTCAGGCCAGTAAAACGAGTTTAGACGCTCGTAAAAAGCATAAGTTTCGTAATTTTCGTCGTAGAGCATTTTAACTGAGGTCATTTATTGAGTGCGCTATTTTATGACTAAAACCAAAATTTCAAACATTTTTTCTAGAAAAAATGCAATTTCAAAGTCCACTTAACAAATGCAAAGCAATTTTTTAGTTGCAGAAAAAATGTATGTTTTCAGGAGCGGCGCCACCCTCACCCACCTCCTCAAATCCTCCCTCGGCACCGGAATTCTTTCAATGCCTGCAGCATTCAAAGCTTCCGGTCTTTGGCTCGGCGTTTTCACCACCATATTGGTATCCCTGATTTGCACACACACTGCCTATGCTCTAGTCAGCTCGGCTCACGCCTTGTACCGCAAAGCCGGCAAAACCTCAATGAGCTACGCGGAAGTTGCCGAAGAAGCCTGTCTTCGGGGACCCCCCTGGTCGAAAAAATACGCATTTCTACTCAAACAACTGGTTTTATGGGGGATTTTCGTGACGTATTATGCAACCGGAAGTTGCTACGCTGTCATCGTAGCCGAAAATTTCAATTACGTAGCTTTCAACTATTTAGGGAATTTCGATAAGAGGATCACGATAGCCATGCTTTTTTTGCCGTTTTTGCTCATTGCGTATGTGCCAAATTTGAAGTATTTGGCACCAGTGTCCATGGTTGCCAATTGTTGCATGGCGGTGGGGCTGGGAATCACCTGTTATTACCTACTGAGTGACATTCCGTCGATTTCTGACAGACCGGCGGTGACAAATCTGGCAACATTGCCTGTTTGTATCAGTATAGTGATTTTTGCGATTGAAGCTATCGGAGTTGTAAGTTTTTTTTTTAATATTTGACAATTTTTTGACCCAAAAACCTCTAGGTAATGCCACTCGAAAACAATATGAAGTCGCCCCAAAAGTTTGTCGGACTTTTCGGGGTACTCAACCAAGGCATGACTTATGTGACCATTCTGTATATAATTTTAGGGTTTTTGGGGTATCTCAAATATGGGGAACTTACAGCAGATTCCATCACGTTGAACCTTCCACGAGAGGAATAGTAAGTGGGGAGTATACAGGGTAGAGCGGCAAAACTTGCTTCACCCTGTATATGTTACTTTTTCATCATATTAATCAAGTGCATCAAGTATGTTGTAGAAATCTAAATTTAAAATCTAAATTTAAAGGCCGATTCACACAATTTTAATTATCTTTGCTACCTGGGGTACACATTTATTTGAAAAAATAATCTTTATGGAAGATTGAGGTTAGAATTGTTTGAATTTTCGCATGGTTGCCACGTTTTCAACGACTACTTCGATGCACATTAATATGAGAACGAGTTATATTTTATTTTTTCAAAATTTTACAAGTGTTTTTGCAGCGCTGCCCAAGCTGTCAATCTCCTCATCGGCCTCGCAGTATTTTTTACCTACGGTCTAGTATTTTACGTTTGTTTGGACATTTTTTGGTCCGAAATCAAGCATCGTTACACTAGCAAAACCATGCTTGCCAACTACGTCCTAAGAACTGTTCTTGTGATGATAAATATCGTTATTGCGATTCTAGTGCCGGCGATTGTGCCCTTTGTTGGTTTAATCGGAGCGTTTTGTTTCTCGATTTTGGGGCTTGTGTGCCCAGTGATTATCGAAATTTTCACGTTTTGGGATCAGGGATTTGGGAGGTTTTATTGGAAACTTTTCAAGCATGTGATTGTGGTTTGTATGGCGTTGCTTGCTGTTGTTTTTGGGTCGAAAGCGGCCATTTCTGACATTGCGAAAACGTTTTAACTGGGAGAAATTGACTATTTATTGTGTACAAGTGGGTAAAAATGTGATTATTAATAAAAATGTAGCTTTTGTGCCGCATAAACTAGGAAAGATATTATTGATTTTGAGTATTTATTTTTGGTTTTTGTAATAAAATAATTGTTTAATTTTTTTCTTTTTAACTACTTCCTTTTTTTCCTTCTCTTTACATTTAAACATCTTAAAAAACACTTGCTTGAGTACAAATTGGCAAATATTGAGACAAAAATTGTGTTTAAAAAATAAATTACGTGAAAAGTAACAAAAACATAAATTATTTTAAATTCAATAATTGTAAAATATTAAGTGCACTATTAAACAATCAAGCGTAAAAAACGTTTAAGACTTTTGATTTTTTTGTGAAAAAAAACCTCAAGCCTTTATCATGAAATTTTGAAATATGATTTTTCATAACTTAGTTTTTTGTCGGTGAATTAGAACAAATTTTAGTTTTTTTTAATTTTTGGCTAATATTTTTTATACACATGTGTATAATTAGTTGCATATCCTACAAAATCAAAATTTAATTTGAATATTATCAGTGACTTAACAACAATATACACCACTTTAATTCAAGTTAAAAACTGACAATTTAAATAATAATAAAAGATGGCGCATAGGTGAAATGTGTACAGACTGAGTCACTTATAATAAAGACCCTGACCGATTTTTAGACGCAACCCAAAATACATTCTCACAGTCAACTTTGCTTTTTGTACGTTTGAAAAATTTAGTTTATTAAATTCAAATCAAAGTAATTGTTGATATGTCATTAGATAAATTTAACAGTGTCAAAAATTGCACTTTTTTCCTTTTGAACTGACATGATCTTGACAAATGGAGAATGTCACAAAATTCTGTGGCTGAACTGTACATACCTTCAAAGGTACACCGTATGAGTTGTATAAAAATCGGTTAGGATCTTTATTATACAGGGATATTTACGAGAGGTTCTGAAAAAAAATTTGTCGCAACCAACAATACCAATATCACTAACTGCTAAATTAAATAAGTTATTTCTCTTATATTAGAAATCAAAGTAAGTTGGATAGATTTGCCAGAAATGTCAGATTGACAGATAACCTATATTTAATCAAAATTCAACAAATAAATTAACCAGTTATTGAGTTTAATGTGTTGCCTACCTATGTTGACAATAAAATTTTTAGCTCAAACGCAGTTCATAGCAGTGATGCCAGATTAGGGAATTTTTCCCTAGTTCTAGGGATTTTTCTAACAAAAAGGTTTTTGCAATTTTTCTTAATAATCTACGGATTTTTTACATTTTCAGTGAAAATCTCAATTTTTTCACACTGCTGGCACAATTTCAAAAATTACAAAAAGTTTTAATATGAATATTGTAACTTCGCCAAGTTAGCGCATTTGTATATGAGTTTAGCACATAGTAACGCGGAAACCAAAATGTAATTTCTGTAGTTGTGTAAAGAAAACAAAAAGAACAAGATAACTAAAAGCCGTTTGCGTTTATCGCGTTGCCAAGTTTACTAATTATTGCAGTTCATTTAATGTTTTAGACGAATCTTTAAAATTAATGAAATCCCATAATTTATAAGTATAAATAAAAATTAAGTAGGTATCTAAATATACACGTTTATTTGAATTTGTTTTAATTGACTTGTATTTTTTTTTTTTCTTTAGTAAAATTTATTTTAATTTATTGTTATATTATTTATTGATTTTTTGTTGTTTGGAGTTAACACATTTTTATGTTGTATTTATATTATATTACCTCAACAAAATAGGCCTATGAAAGATCTTTTTAATTTTTTAAGTAGTTTAGGGAATTCTAGGGAATTTAGAAGCTACAATCTAGGGACAAGCGCTTAATCTCATCTGGCATCACTGAGTACAGAGTTAGTCACAGGAGTCACAGAAGAGCTACTTAAATACAACTTCACATCACTTTCGATTACGATTACGATGTAGTTCTTTCGATTTATCTTATGTTTGCAGTTTTTCTTCGTAGTCAAAATAAAATTCCATTGAGTCAAGGTTGTTCGTCATTTATTGCAAGATTTGTGTTAAATATTGAAAAATACAAGCTGCAATGGCTCAGGCGACTAGAAAGGTAACTTTACTTAAACTGCTTATCATTTTAGTTTGTGGAATTTTTATGATGCATTTCGAGTTTACGATTTTTTACGTTTTTGTGTGCAGAGACCACATTTATGTAAGACAGTTCTTCTGCGTGTTAATTGTTATTACAATAAAAATCTGGCATTTGTTTTTTTGATTGAGTGTAATTGTGTCGTTTTTAAATTCGGTAATTACTTGTAGAAAAATGAAGCATTCCTGGGTGCCATTACAAGAGGGGATTTAAATGAAGTTAAAACTTACGTTTCAAAGAAGTTTACATTAAATTTCATTCATAACACAAATAGGACTCCACTTATTGCCGCAATATCGTCGAAGAAGATCGATGTGATAAAATATCTAATAGAAAATGGAGCCGACGTTAATTACCAAAGTTGTTACACAAGTGCACCTTTACATTTTGCAATAGTCAACAAGTGTCCACTAGATATTATAGAACTACTTATAAATAATGCAGATATAAATCTACTTAGACGGTATTATACCGACCCTTAATCGTCAGAAGATTATACACCACTTTCAGTATCTGTTATACATAAAAATTTTGAGGTTGCTAAACTTTTAATTGATAAGGGGGCCGACATGTGTAAACAAAACTCTGGTAATACTATTGCTCTAATCATTGCTCAAAACAATTGTACAATAGACATATTGCATTATTATTTTACACCTGTAGGATATGCTATTTTTACCAAAAAATTAGGTGAAGCCCGTCAACTTTTAGAAGATGGTGTAGATGTTTGTATGTCTGGTGCAAACAACAAAACTCCTCTTATGATAGCCGTTGAAAAAAACGATCTCGAAGCAATCAAACTTTTATTCGAATTTGGAGCTGATTTTACTATGCCGACTGCTTTGTTGGAGGCCATAAATCTGGGCAACGTCCAGATAATTGATTTTTTTATTAAAAACAATGTTGTAATTAATCGCCAATATCAGGATGGAACTACGCCCCTAATAAGAGCTTTAGAAAAGGGCAATTTTGATGTGGTGAAAATTTTGGTCGAAAATGGTGCCGACGTCAACTTTGCAAATGGCCACTTCACACCATTGTTTGAAGCTTTGAAACTTGACAACTGCGAGGTTGCGAAATATTTAATAAGTAAGGGAGCGTCAATGGAAGCAAAATATTTATTAAAGTTTCCAATGTCTAAAGAAATTAATTAAGATAGAAATTCAACTAAAGAGTATTTTGCTGGACGATTTTGACCCTTCCACTTTACTGAAAGTAGTTGAAACTAAAAATGCTATTTTTGTAAAATATCTTTTGAAACAAGGACTCTCAATTGATTCACCACATGATGAAAAGCAAAAAAGTCCACTTGCAGTAGCTGCAAAAAATCGCAGTTTCGTTATTGTTTCAATTTTAGTCGATGCTGGCGCTGGTATTGATTCAGCCAAAGAAGAACTTGAGGAATTTGCCAAGCGAAATAACGACTTTTATTTTTATTATCAAGAACTGCAACAAAGACCTAAATCCAACTTTGGAGGTAAAGAAACGGTTCTGAAATTTTGACGATAAAATGCGTTTATTTCTAGGTTCTAGGTATCATTACTATTTAAGTTCTCTAATTTCGTTTCACATAAATAATTGTTTATCTTTTTTTTAAACGGTTTTTGTTAATATAATTTTTGTTAATTAATAATTGTTTCCAAATGGTGGCAGCGGAAGTCCACAGTTTGAAAAAAAACAGGGTTTTTTGAGTTTATTTTACTTCAGCATATGAAAATAAAAACATAAATAAATAAAAAAACACAAACAAATTTATTAAGCAGTCTTAAAGTTCCTTTTTCCCCATCAACCGGTCAATTTTCTCATCAAGCAACTCAATTCTATCCATCAATTCGTTTCTCTGCCGTTCATCTTCCTTTTTCTTCCTCTCCAAATCTTCCCCCAAACGTTCCAACAAACACACAATCTTCTCCTGCTCGGAGGCTAAATGAAGACACAAACTTTCCAATCTTGCAACATCACTTGGTGGTATTTCTTCAGAAGACAGTGTAACAGAATCTTCATAACTTAGATTTTTCTCCGATTCTAATCGTTTAAGCAACTTTTTACTAACACTAACTTCCTGCTTGAAATTCTCCAAATCATATTCGTTGGGTTTCACTAAACGGAAAAAAATGAAAAATTGAGTTGTTTCAAATCACACACTTACAGAAATATTTAACAATGTCGTAAAAACCCGCATTTGTGCTACAAATTCGGTCGATGTGGTCTGCAATATTCCGAATTTTGTTCGTGATGCAAAACGCGGTTTCTTCACTCAAATCTTCGATCAGATTGTGGCCTTCGTGCCAATAATTCGGGATGTTACGCCGTTTTATATACTCGCCGTATTTTCTCAACATCTAAAAAATAACCAATAAAAAAAACAAACAAATATAAAATAAAAATAAACATACAATCATAAACACAAAACTTAACGATTGTTCCCAAAAATTTTTATCAAACTTTTCCAATTCCCACATAAAGACAGTTTTGATAAAATAACTAGCAATATTGTGGTCATGTCGGTCCCGTATTTTCTAAAAACAAACTGAAAAATTGCAATCACAGAATCAAAAAATAACCTTGATGAGTCTTATACACGACTTCATATTTTTGTAATTGTGGAGCAATTCTCTTTCTTGTTCTTGGAAGCTCAATCTCCAGTTGTGAACATCAAAATCGTTCGGACTTTTCGGCACGACGAAAAAAGTTTTCTGGAAGAAAACACTTCACACAGGCACAAAACCGGAAACTCTTACCTTATTTTGCGAAATATTTTGTCTATAACCATTTTTTGGCCACTGATCGTGAGGGAAAATAAAACACGGGACGAAGTCAATTTTTAGCTCAAAATTCTTCAAGTTGTGCACGCCTTCCAACTTTATGGTCAATGCTGGTCCACTTTTGATAATTTCAATCTAAAACTTTCGCTTTGGTGGTTTCCGTGGCCAAAATATGGGTTGGTTACCTTGACTGAACAAGCGGTACCATCGATATTTACGTCCATTTTCAGATTTCCATGGAAAACTGTGTCAATTAGACTTTCAATCCACGATCTGATTTTCTTCGTCGATAGGAAATTGCCGTCAAGAAGTTTGTCTAAGTTCCTGAAAAAAAAATGAAGATTTATAAAAAAAAGAAGAAGATCCTCACGGGTATTTGGCCCCTTCGGTTTCGTTCTTCTGCAAAGCTTCCAAATTTCGAAGCACGACGTGGACGTATCCAGGCTTATCACTTTCTTCAATCATAGCGCCCACGACTTTCGGGAATCGTAAATTGCAGTCTAAATCGTACTCATTTGGACTTCCAATTTTGAGTCCATCGTAAAAACTGCTAACGTACGAAATGTCCTGGTATAAATTATCGAAAAGGACGCTTTTACTTCGCAGTTTTTGGACGGCACGTTTAACAATCTGAAAATTGAGTGAATTTATTGAAATTTTATCGGAAATACCAACTTGTAAGAGCTGATTGTTCCTTTTGGTTTCGTCATCGGGGAGTGCGATGGACATACTGTTGATTTTTTGAAGCACGTTTTCGATTATTTTATACTTCTTGCTTTCTTGACTCATGATTTATCTGGAAAAATACGAACTGTGGTCAAATCCTATGGGATTTGTCTCCGTGTTTCATAAAATAAAAAAATGTCAATAAGAATATAATGTGGTGTCTCTACGGGTCAGTTCGTGTATGTCTGGATTTGTCGGGTTGTTTTCCATTCCTTCGGGACATTTTGTTTTGATTTGGGTCAATTCGAATTAAGTATAAAAATAATGTCAGTCGAAATGTGTCAAAATATCGAACTATTAAACAGTTGGGGAGACTATAAGAAAGTGTCAGACGTAAAAAATTATTTTGTAAAAAACGTTTAAAAATTTCTTAGAAAATTCCTTGAATTAAAAAAAATGTCAATCGAAACTTTTCAAAACATCGTGTTGCGAAAGACAGTTTCGAAGACATTGAAAGTTTCCACAAAGCGGTTTAAAACAACTTTAGACTTATAACAAAACTTAAAAAAATAGAGAGAAAGGCAGGAATAAAAAAAAGGTCAATCAAGACTTTTCAAAATATCGGGCTACAAAAGACAGTTGAAAATAATAACAAAGTATTCAGAAAAATCACCTTCAAAATAAAAATACTCCTGACTTGTAACAAAATAAAAAAATTCAACTTAAAAAAAAATACATTAGTAGGTATTTTTTTGGCAGCGAGCCAACCAAAAGCTTAAATCGATAAATATATTAAATGAAGTGTCAACTCATTAAAGATCCTATTTCATTTTAAATTTGCAATGTAACAAGCAACTGTATGTTCACTCATTGTACCGGCTTAAAAAAATTCTAGATTTGTAAAAAACGTTTCAAAATGTCTTAGAGAAATACTCAAATTTAAAAAATGTCGAGACTTTTCAAAATATCGTGTTGCGAAAGACAGTTGAGAAGACGTTGAAAATTTCCATCAAATTAAAAAAAAATACAATGGTAGGTACATACTTTTTTGACAGCAAGCCAACCAAAAGCTTGAATCGATAAAGATATTAAATAAAGCGTCAACTCATTAAAGATCCTATTTCAGTTTTTTGAATCTCTAAATAAATTTTTTGAATCTCTAAAATCGACTCAAATTTTTTTAGAAAATATTGCAGTGTACAAGAAAAAATACAAATCAAAAAATCTATACACGATTTTTTTTAATTGTCTAAAAGTCTAGCTTTCGTTATTTTACTTAATCATAAAAAAAGAAACGAAACAATTGATTAAAAGAAAGACGCTGCAATTTCAAAAGAAAAAAATTTCAAAAACAATTTTTTTATTTAAATTTCCAATAAGCAACAATATGTTCACTAGTGAAACTCAACTCATTTCACGGTCTTAAAAAATTTCTATATTTGCAAAAAGCGTTTAAAAATTTCTTAGAGAATTACTCAAATTAAAAAAAATGTTAATCGAGACTTTTCAAAACATCGTGTTGCGAAAGACAGTTGAGAAGATATTGAAAGTTTCCACAAAGCGGTTTAAAAAATCTCTAGACTTATAACAAAACTTAAAAAAAAATAGAGAGAAAGGCAGAAATAAAAAAAAGTCAATCAAGACTTTTCAAAATATCGGGCTACAAAAGACAGTTGAAAATAATAACAAAGTATTCAGAAAAAATCACCTTAAAAATAAAAATACTCCTGACTTGTAACAAAACAAAAAAATTGAAATTAAAAAAAATACATTAGTAGGTACTTTTTTGGCAGCGAGCCAACCAAAAGCTTAAATCGATAAAGATATTAAATGAAGTGTCAACTCATTAAAGATCCTATTTCAGTTTTTTGAATCTCTAAAAACGACTCATTTTTTTAGAAAATATTGCAGCGTACAAGAAAAAATACAAATCAAAAAATCTATACACGATTTTTTTTAATTGTCCAAAAGTCTAGCTTTCACTATTTTAGTTAATAATAAAAAAGAAAGGAAACTATTGAATGAAAAAAGCCGTTGTAATTATAGAAGAAAAAAAATTGCAAAAACTATTTTGTATTTAAATTTGCAATGTAACAAGCAACAATATGTTCACTAGTGAAGCTAAACTCATTGTACCGGCTTAAAAATTTCTAGATTTGCAAAAAACGTTTAAAAATGTTTTAGAAAAATACTCAAATTTAAAAAATGTCTATCGAAACTTTTCAAAATATCGTGTTGCGAAAGACAGTTGAGAAGACGTTGAAAGTTTCCACAAAGCGGTTTAAAAAATCTCTAGACTTATCACAAAATTTAAAAAAAATATAGAGAAAGGTAGAAATAAAAAAGTCAATCAAGACTTTTCAAAATATCGGGCTACAAAAGACAGTTGAAAATAATAACAAAGTATTCAGAAAAAACACTTTAAAAATAAATAATACTCCTGATTTGTAACAAAAGAAAAAAATTTTAATTAAAAAAAATAAATGGGTAGGTACTTTTTTGGCAGCAAGCCAACCAAAAGTTTAAATCGATATTAAATGAAGTGTCAACTCATTAAAGATCCTATTTCAGTTTTTTGAATCTCTAAATCAGTTTTTTCAATCCCTAAAATCGACTCAATTTTTTTTAGAAAATATTGCAGCCTACAAGAAAAAATACAAACAAAAAAATCATTTCACGATTTTTTTTAATTGTCTCTAAATCTAGCTTTCCCTATTTTCCTTAATCATAAAAAAAGAAACAAGGACATTAAAAGTTTCCACAAAAAAATCTCTAGACTAATGACAAAACAAAACAAAAAAAATAAAGAAATGCAGAAATAAAAAAAGTCAATAAAGACTTTTCATAATATCGGGCTACAAAGGACACTTGAAAATAATAATAAAGTGTACCTTAAAAATACTCCAACTTTGTAACAAAACAAAAAAAATCAAATTAAAAAAATTTACATTGGTACATCCAAAAATATCACCTTGAATTTTCTTATACTTGCAATAAATTAAAAAAATACAACTAAAATGATTTTTATATACACAAATTTACAAAAAAATAATAATTACGAAAATAAATACAATACAAACATAGGATGACCAACTGATTTATAATTATTAGTGTTTCAAAAAAAAACTAATAATTGTCTACAGAATAGCGAACAATTAATTAGTTGTAGATCAAAACGGTTTTGTAACAGTCTGAAACGCATAAAATACGAACAAAAAGTGAAAATTAAGCACGTATCGTTTGAGTTAATTTTTTTTAAAATTTAATTTAATAATTTTTATCGAATTTTTGTGTTACGAAAAGGTCGACCACCTAGCAAGTTCGCAAAGAAACCCCGCGACAAAGCGAAAGTCCCAATCGATAATGACCGACTGAAACGAAAGCGTGTAAAACACGTTTCAGTCAAAGTTTTCCTCGGCGCGGGTAAACACCTCCTCAAAATGCTCACGGCTTCCTAATGGCCACCATTCGAAAACTCTCAACTTTCCGTCAACTCTCCCTCGACTGCGACTCCCCGAGCCGCAAATCCCTCAAAAAGCAATTCTCCGAGGAAAAAACCCGCGACCGGCCTCATCCCATCCGAATCGCCTGGGCGGAGAGCCCCTCGCCCAAAGAGGAGGGAGTCGTCGCGAAAAAATGCCTCAAAGAAGCGAAAAAGCCCCCAAAGTTGAGTCGACACAGCTCGCTGGAGAAGGACTCCATCCTCTACTCCAAACAGGAGTTGGCGGAGAGGTTGCGACAAGCCCTCAAAAGCCGGGAGAAACCCAACTTGGACATTTTTCTGGCACACAACACGCAAATTGAGGACGAGGTGGAGGAGACCATCTCCAAAGAGCCTCCGAAAATCATCCCGCCACTAACCGCCCCCACAGACGTCTTCCAAATCAAGAAAAACAAGTCGAGTGCGATTGTTGTGATACCAGGGGTGGAGAACGACCCTCAAAGCCTCGAAGACGACTCCATCTCCGACCAGCAGGACCCCAAAGCTATCAAAAATGTGATAATAAGACCTGCCACGGCCGCTGCCAAACGAGAAAAGTTTCAAAAGAGGAGCAACACAGCTTTCAATTCGGTTATTCGACCACCGTTGGTGAGGTCCTCTTCAGCGCCCACAAAACCCGACCAAAAACCCAAATTTCTCGCCACGAAGAGGAAAATCAAGTCGGGGAAAGTCAAAGGAAAGACGAGTGATGATGAAGATAGTGGAAGTAACAAAGAAAATCCCAAAAATAAGAAGGAAATGAACAGGTATGTAATTTTGAAGGACAACGAACTCATTTCGGATTGAGAAAAATATTGCAATTATCTCCAGCTGGTTTGCATGTTTGCCGGTTTCGATTGTGAAGCTATTTTCATTAAAAATATTTTTTGGCAGCGAGCCAACCAAAAGCTTAAATCGATAAAGATATTAAATGAAGTGTCAACTCATTAAAAATCCTATTTCGGTTTTTTGAGGTTCCACTCAATTTTTTTTAGAAAAAATACAAAAAAAAAATTCAGGGTGATACATATGAAACCTCACGATTTTATTAATTCTCTACAATTCTAGCTTTCGCTATTTTACTTAGTCATTAAAAAAGAAATAAAACTAGTGAATAAAGGAAAGCCCTTGTAATTACAAAAGAAAAAAAAATACAAAAACTAATTTCTTATTTAAATTTGCAAAGTAACAAGCAATAATATGTTCACTAGTGAAAATCAACAAAATTTTGAGTTATGAGAAATACAAAAAAAAAACGATTAAGCGCAAAAATAGAATTTTTACTCTATGGCTATAAAAGATAAAATTTCACTTGTGAAATTTTTTTTAGTCATAAAAGTAGTCACTTTTGCAGATAAAATAATTTTTTATTGGCGAAAAGCAACGAGGAAAATACTACAAGAACTCAAAAACAAAAATTAACATCAGACAAAATAAAGTTTAGTTTCTACTTCATTTAAACAATTTAAAAGTCAAATCACAAAAACTTTGTCAAGTAATAAAATCTGGTATAGATCGTTCAATTTTTTAATTAAAAAACTCAGTTTTTATAGGTTTTTTATGTTTAAATCAAAATGAAACATGTTTTTTTGATATTTTTTGTCAATTTGTAAATGCATTTGCAAAAATTGTAAACAAAAATCCGATATTTGATTAAAAATTCCCCTTAAACGTAATACACAAAAAGTACAAATATGTAATAATAAAATCAGAGATTTCATCGACTTAAAACAACTAATTCGTTATAGTTTAAATTATTTGAAAATTATGATTTTTCAAGTTTTTATTAATTAAAGTAAAACCAGATAAAAATCTGTTTTTTTTTTATTTTTTTAAATCTTCCAGCACTTCAATTTTCTTCATTCACTGTTTTGTTTTTTTAAATAGAATGAAACTATTTTTCATTTTACTCGTATTAAAAAAAATAAATATGCTCGTGTTACAACTACACACCACTTTTGTGACGTTTGCGAATAAAATAATTTTTTACTGTAGAAAGGCAACAAGAAAAATAAAACAAGAACTCAAAATCAAAAATTAACATCAGACAAAATAAAAAAATCTTTACTGAATTTTCAATTTTTCTTTTTTTTTCTTTTGTTTAAATCTTCCAGCACTGCAATTTTCTTCATTCAGTGTTTTGTTTTTTAAATAGAATGAAACCATTTTTCATTTTACTCGTATTTAAAAAAATAAATATGCCCACACAACTATTTATACAGACTGTCATAAAAGTAGTCACTTTTGTGACGTTTGCGGATAAAATAAATTTTTACATTTATGTTTAAATCTAAATGAAACATGTTTTTTATATTTTTGTCGATTTGTAAATGCATTTTCTAAAATTGTAAACAAAAATCGGATATTTGATTAAAAATTCCCCTTAAACATAATATACGAGTACAAAAAATACAAATATGTAATAATAAAACC